TTGTTCGGAGAACGTTTCCGAGCTGTGCAGAAGCTCTTCCAGGTCTGTAGGTTAGCAAAAGCGGCAGTTTGTTTAATCCAAAACAAAATTCACTGTTGTTGGAGGAAAAAATAGCAAATGTTTCAACTTATTAGTAACAAATTGTACAAGATTGATCGTTTATTTTCTTGAAAGAAAAGTAATGTTTTAAATTTTTGATTATTTCTACACGAAGCATTTATTCTTTTAGTGACGTGACTAGGATTATTTCATTAGTGAGCTGAAGTAAATAACTTCTTCAGCTTCTGAAAACAAATTTTCTACCTTCTTTTCTCTTATTAAAACAGAACTTCTTTTCTGTGTTTATATAGTATTCCTGAAATGGTTTTCTTAATTTTATGCTTCATAATTTGTTAACTTTTTCCTAAGTACTCATGATTCAAAAAAGAACATATGTTAGAGAAACTTTATTTAACTGGAAAAAATAAAATACTGACTCTTGATTGTCTGGAAAAAAGCTTGAGTCTTTTATAATTTAAAATTTTGAAGGATTTTTTTTTCTTCTAAATGAATCCAATCAGATATATATGTATATTTTTCTCTGATACATTGGTAAAGTTATCACTTGAGTAGTGAGCAGAATATGTGCATTCTCCATTTTTATCCTCAGCAGTGATTTAAAGTTTCTACTGTAACCTTTGGGCCAGAGCGTCAGAAAATTTAGGAGCTAAAAAGATTCTAACATGAGGGTTTAGAGTCTCGATTGTTATAGATGACTACACATGGGTTATGACTTATGGTTCTGTAGTTGCAGAACCTTGTACCAATTGGATAGCCATGAGAGCCTCTAGCGAAATCAAACCCGGTCCAAATGAGAACTGCACAGAGCAATTTGTCTCCGTCACCTGTACAGGATTCCATTGGAAGCTGGCCTCGTCATGAATAGCCGGAGTCCTGTGCATTCTGTCTTGGATCTCAAGGGACAGATACTTTAGGTTTTCAAAGGAGAGATACTGCGTTGCCTCGTTTCAGATCTGCAGGCAATTTAGAGCATGATCCAGGCAACATCGTAATGGTTTTACTATATTCTCATTTATAACTATGCATTTTGTAAACACATCAAGAGCTACTGCTACCATATTTTAAAGCAAAACAATCGAGGGGGGAAAAAACCTGATTCTTAAACATTTTGCTGATTTCATTTTCATGTTTTAATTTTATTCTTTGCTCTTTTACTGCTTACTTCCCTTCGAAACCACTTTGTATTTGTAATGGTTATTGTGGAGTAGAAGGCAAATCAAGAGATCCGATGTCATTGTAGTTAAATACTCTCCCACTGCCAACTGAAAGGGTAACAGTTCAAACCCACCCAGCTGCTCTGAAGGAGGCTCGATTTGGCAATCTGCTCCCCTATGGATTAGAATTTAGGAAACGCTATGGGGCGGTTTAGGAGCTATGGTTATATGTTGGGCTGCTAACTGCAACGTCAGCAGTTCCAAACTACCATGCACTCTGCCTTGCCCTGTGGGCTCGCTGTGAGTCACTGTTGACTCGCCGCCAGTGAGATGGAGAAGTGGGACTGTGTCATAAGTTAGACTTGACTTGGCACACAACAACAACAATCTAAATCACGCAATTTAAGTTTAAAGGGAGCATCAGAATTCTCAGATTTAAAAATTGACAGTAAATTTCTGAAACTTGGTATTGGAAATCATTTCCTTTATGCATATCCTAAGCATAATCCTCTTTAATAAACTCATTCTAAAACCTCTTTTGACAGAAAAACAAACGCGAGACTTCTCTTTTGTAGGTTAGTGCCCATTCAGGCTAGTGTGTAGGGCCTGGCAGGTCCTGTGCAGCGCTCAGGCTCCCTCTTCCGGACACCTCTCAAAATACATCTACAAATGTATTCCAGATGCCATGGAGGCCTGAGGGTGTATGTGCTGTTCTAGCTCCCTGCTGCTGGGTTGGGCTTGCTGGTAATGCTAGACTACCATTTACGAAATTAGTTCATGTTAAACTTTCTTTTCCTGGTACCATGGAAAACTGATGATGCGGTTTATAATAGAACAAAAGCATATTCTTTGTACAGTTTTTGTTATTAAAAGAGAAAGCCAATCTTTTAATAGTTTCAAGGTTTAAGATTTACTTAAACTGTACAAACAATTTGCTATTTAAATTGAATTTATATAAATGTCAGTTTGGGGAAGATAACTCTTACCCTGAGGATCTACAGTGACATTTCTGTTAGCTGTAAGATTAGTATATGGTGTATTGTTTTAGGACGCTAGGCCATGTTTTCTTCTTAATCATAAATTTATAGTCCAGAAATTCTCGTGACACTTTTAATTAAAGCATATATAAATTTTTTGTAATTTTTTTCTGTGATGCTAAGTCTAGGTCCCTTTATATTTCTTTTTAAAGTATGTCATAATCTTTTTTTTTTGTCATAACTTAACATCTTGATATTTTCCTTAATTCTACAATTAATAGCAAAGGAGATGTATAAACTTCAAAGGAAAATGTCACATAAATCATTGAAGGGACCACATATCATTTCCTCTTTATAGAAAAATAGTTATGAATATCTCTTTTCCTTACAGTTATTATTTTCTTATGCCATCATATAACATTTATTTTGTTGTTTCAGCACACTGAATTTTACAAATCTTTACTTAAGGGCAGTTTTTTCCAAAATAGAATGAATGTGAGGCGTTTAGTACAGTAATTAAGCATAGTAACTCTTTAACAGTTTAATCCCCTTTCTACAAAGCCTCATACACGTTACTGTAAAGATACAGCAGACAGCGTGCACTGCCACATGTACAGTGGCCCCGGGGGGGAGGGGAGGGCTTGTGCAGACAGCCTCTCTGTGAGGCTATCTCCTGCCCAGGCATGTTACCCATCACATCACATCGTGTCACCCCATAAACTCTCTGCAGCATACTTGCTATTGTTACTATGCTTTTCACATTTGTTATTTACTGGCTTACTTTTGGCCTCTAACACCAGAAAATCAGAAGAAATACGTTTTAGAAAAACAACTTGTCAGCACTTAGAAAGCCCTAGAATTCTGATTCTCTTACTTGTTTCAATGGTGTACAAACCTCTGACATTTTCCATCACCCTGTCCCCAGGGTCGACAATTCCTGGCACTTTAGAAACAAAGGAAAACAAAACTTATTGTCATAGAGTCATTTTAGTGACCCGTTAGGATGCAGTAGAACTGCGCCTTGTGAGTTTTCAAGACTGTTTAACTTTATAGGAATAGAAAGCCTCATCTTTCTCATGGAGTGGCTGGTGTTTTGAACTGATGGCCTTGAGCTTAACCGCCCACTGCATAAACACTGCCCCACTAAGACTCTTTTTCTTGGCACATAGGAGGTACTTAATAAATACGTATTACATCCTATTAAGCAGCTGGCATTATCCATGTCATAAAATTATCATTTTAATTATATAGGTGCCTCATATTTTGTACCTGATGATGAGTCCCTAAACCTTTAAAATTCTACAGTGTGATAAAATAAGGGATATAATTCTCATTAAATAATTTTTTATTAGTCACTCAGTTTATATTGAGAGTGTTATTTATAGAAAGTCCAATGATATAGGGAATACAGAGACGTGATATTCCTTATCCCCAAGAAGAGAGCAGTTTACTTTGGAGGCAGACATATAGCTGAGGTCATCTAAAAAATGATGTCAATTATTACAACATATAAGTAATGTACATTAAACCTGCTTTCAGAAGGGAGAAGAGATGCTAACACTTTGAACTTGTACCTCATGGAATAGCCATAATTCAAGCCGTGACTTTAAGAAAAAGGATTTGAATGGGTGGAGAGCAAGGACGAGTGCGGCCTTTCAGATGGACAGGATAGCGAAGGTCAGGAAAGTGGGAGCCCAGCGAATGTGCTCTAACGGTTTGTTGAATTCTTTGTTTTTAAGATCTTTGAATGTTCTGTTACAAGCGTGTTTGTAGGGACTTCTGAGACTGACAAGTCATGTCTACCAGTGAAAGCCTCTTCTTTAGTTACCTCCTTAGCAAGCATGGGATCCTATTCCTAATAGATTGTAAGATTCATTATAAAAAAAAAAAGTTTCCTGTTTCCCAGGTAATTTGGATTGGAAACCACTGGTGTAGAGTTTCTTCTGAGGGTTTTCTAGAAGATTCTGGCAAGAGGATAAAGAAATCAGTATTTAGTGAGATTTATCCAGGACACCAAAGAGGATTTCTTGTCGGTCGTGAAATGTTGACTTTTGAAGGGTTCCTTGGTGAACTGAAAAGGACCCATGCCAGGTTGCTGGCATCAGGGATGGAAGCAGGGAATCAAGTCCTCATCCCAAAGAAAGGAGCCTGGGATTTGGGGGTTCCAGTGGGAATGGAGGTGTCCAGGAAAAACTCAGAGGTCTGTACACTATTAAAGGAAACAGGAGAGCCTGAGTTCTTTGATTTCCTAAGTGCCAATGAATTGTTTTCTTAAAACTAATTTCTGCTCCTGATTGTTATGTTTATGCCCATCCTCCGCCCCAGCATTTACTGACGATACACTCACGAAGAGAATAAGCTCCACTTCTTGGGTCTGTCACATAGCTGCATTAAGCCCAAATATTAGCAATTGGATCCTCCAAACCCGTCATGAGGGAATGACTTTGAAAAGCTATTTAGAAATATACTTTAGGATTTATTACCTGAAATCTTAATTTAAAAAACTAGAGCGCATGCTCTGGAAATAAGCTTGTTGAAGTTGTCTACGAAGCCCACTCACTCGCTGCCAGTGAGTCGATCTGATCCGTAGTGACCCGATAGGACAGGCTAGAACTGCGCTTGTGGGTTTTCTGAAATTTTAACACTTTATGGGAGTAGAAAGCCCTGTCTTTCTCCCATGAGTGGTTTAGAACTGCTGACCTTGATATTAGCAGCCCAATGCATAACTACAACACCACCAGGGCTCCTTCATACAATCAGCTAAGTAAGAATATGCATCAGGTGTCTGAGCATCACCTCTCTCTTGCAGGTGGCCCAGGCCTACTTAGCCCCGTGTTGGATCTCGAGAATGATGTGCGCCCTTCAGTACTGGGTCATCTTGGTCAGACAGCATCACTCAAGAGAGGCAGCAGCTTTCAGTCTGGGCGAGATGATAGTAAGTACACACCACACCCTGGTTGTACTCGTGCTGAGTATCACAGGTGGTCATCTCTGGTGCTGACGAAGTAACGACCTGATCATTACATTTAAATAATTATAATGAATATTTCATTTTACATTAAGGAAATATCATTTGATCTTTTAATCATTCATTAGGTACAGTGATTATTCCTCTTATTTAATTAAAGTCAATTTTTCTCTTTTTTGTGTTTGAATTTTTAAAAATATACCACATGAAAAATTCTGGGGAAAGCTCCTTTAAGGTGTGCACCAAAAAGTAATTTCCAGCATCTATCCAGACAAGTAGATACTTTTAAAGTGAATGTTTACATTTAGTTTGGAAAAAAGGATTGGTTGTTAGTTATATATTCACTAGTAACCTCCATCCTTCCCCCCACCTTTGAGAACAATAGATCTCAAATTGCAGCATGTCGTATTTTCTAACTTTTTAAAGTTGATATTTACTGGTTGACCATAAATCTACATGAAATATAAGATGAATTCGTTCTAATACATTCAGACACCAAATTAGCTGTTAAATAAGCATTATGACCATAATGACAGATTTTCTTGATATTCAAGTTCATGCGTCTAAAGCAACAGTCCTCAACCTGTGGCTCACGACCCCTTTGGGGATTGAAGGACCCTTTCACAGGGTTTGCCCAATTTATAACAGTAGCAAAATTACAGTTATGAAATAGCAATGAAAATAACTTTATGTTTGGGGGATCACCACAACGTGAGGAACTGTTTTAAGGGGTCACACCTTTAGAACGGTTGAGAACCACTACTTTTAAACAAAGTTTAAAGTACTGCATGTTCATCTTATATTTATTGAAGTGGTGAATGTTTATAAATATGAATGACCATCACAAGAACACCTTAAATCCAGTGATTCATTTGCACTAAGTGGAAGACTTCCAAATTGTCAGTTTCCTTTCTTGTCCTGTTCCCATCTCCCATCTGGCCCACCAAACCCTGCTATAAACACTGAAGGACCAACACTGTTACTTCTGTGTTCTCTGGTCTGATATCTGACATGGGGCCCTGTCAACAAATAAGAGACTGGATCTGCCCCAGGAGTTCAGGCTGCTGCAGTTTTATGAAACATTTTCTTCCCTTAGTAGGACAATGGATCAGGTCTCACCTCGCGTTACTAATTCACGGTCACCAGCTGTCATGCTAACAGGATTTGATCAATTTAAAAATTACACATAAGGTTGATTGTAATGAATTATGGCATCTTCAGTAATTCATACTTATCAAACTAGAGTTTTTTCCAAGCTTTTTGGATTGATGAGACTATGGTTTTTATCCAGCTTGGAAATTTCTGAGACATGATTTTTTTTGCTCCCCTATCTTTTTGGGGGAAGGACTCCAATGACATGCATTCGAGACATCTCACTATGACCAAACATTCCCAGGAACTGTCTCTCTCCCCACCCAACCCCGCATCGAGTGGTGTATTTTTTTCCTCATTATTTTCATGTTCTTTTAAATACTGCATATAGTTTTAATAGCTTTTTTAATGTCCTTATCTATTAATCCCATCACTTGTTATTTTTGCATCAAATTCCATTGACTGCTTTTTATTCTGTTTTTTGAATGTGTTTTACATTTTGTGGCTTTTTGACATGTGTGATTAATTTATTTTTGATATGTTCTAGCATATTGAAAATCTGCACTTTGCTGTCTCTCTTTAGAGAGTTATGGGCTTGTTTTTGCAGATAGTTAATTTGTTTGCCTATAATTTTGATCCCATTGAGCCTGTGTAGCTTTACTAACCCTATTTGGTAGCATTACTCAACCCTACTACCAAGTCTGGAGTCTTGACTGGAAGCCAAGTGACAGGGGAATATTGTTTGAAATCATGCGTGAAGAGGAGCCCCTCGGTTGTAAGGCACTCAAAATAACAATTGGGGAAGAGCTGCCTCCTCAAAGTAGCATCAGCCTTAATCAGCCTTACACAGATGGAGTAAAGCTTTCAAGAACTTTTTGCTGATGGAGAACAACTCGAAATGAGAAGAAACAGCTACAAATATCCATTAACAATTGAAATGTGAAATGTCAGCAGTATTAATCTAAGGAAATGTGGAAGTCTTCAGAAATGAAATGGATCATATGGACATTAATGTCCTAGGCATTAAGGAGACGGAATGGATTGTTTGGGGATATTTACAATTGGACGCGAGGAATGGCGTCACATTCGTCATTAAAAAAAAAAAACTATCTTGAAATACAGATCTGTCTGAGAATACAATGCAGGTGAACTATACAATAACATCTATCCTCCTAATACGCAGGCAAACCAGTGAATACAACTGTAGTTCCAATGTACATACTGACCACTCAAGCCAATGATGAAGAAGAATTCTACACACGTTTTCAATGTGAAATGAATCAAACATGCAATCGAGATATATTGATAATTAGTGGCAATTGGAATGAAAAAGTTGGAAACAAGGATTTATCAGTTGTAAAATATGGCCTTGATGATAGAAATGAAGCTGCATGATAAAATTTTGCAAGACCAAAGACTTCTTCATTGGAAATATTATTCTTCAACTATGTAAATGGTTTCTCCATCTGTGTACAGTGCCTGAAGGAATACAAGGGACAACCCGCCCCCGCCCCACAAATTTTTTTTTCAGTTATGTATTTAAGTTGTTATTACAAAACAACCTTCTCACCTTCAAAGTACTCTCCATTACACTTAATACATATGCCAAATCTGAGATTCCATTCTTTGACACATTTTTCAAACTCATCTGTTTGGATGGGTGACAGAACCTCACGTGTTGTTTTCTTCACCTCTTCTGCATCGTCAAATAGCTGTCCTTTCATGTCCTTCTGCATTCGCAGCAATCCAAAGAAGTCGTACCGAGCAAAGTCAGGTAAGAAGGTATGTGGGGTAAGAAAGGCATGCTGTTTATTGGCAGAAATTGGTATACAGAGATGGCTTTGTGAGCAGGTGCATTGTCGTGGTGACAAAATCAGTCCTCCGCCTGCCATAAATCAGGCCTTTGTTGTCACACACTGTCATGCTATCTTTTCAGAACCTCTAAATAGGAAGCTTCATTAACAGTCTGACCTGGTAGAACTAATTCCAAATGCACTACACCCAGATGTTTGGGAAGTTGATGGATGTCTAGAACAAAGTTTGTCATCAGTTGATATTGTATCTTTTTTGAAACGAGAAAAGCACTCATACACTTGAGTTTTTCCCATAGTGCTGTCTTTATAAACTGTGTTCTACATCACAACAGTTTCTGCAGCATTTTTCCTGAGCAGGAAACAAAATTCCACAGCCACATGCTATTCTCTTAAATCAGCCATCACAAAAAAAGAGGTTTGAGCAAAACTGCTTTTATGAAAAAATTCACTGTGACCAGAGAGAACCCTCCCAGGTGACACCACTGGGTGCACTAACTCAGAGTGAGTTGCTCGATGCTCGCTTAATGGAAAAAATGCAGACTATGAAAGCTCTGCTCGGCTCAGAGAGCTTTTTGCTGGTTTTTTGGGGGTACAGGGGGGGAACTCCTTGTACACAGGAATCACATTGACTGTGTCTGTGGGAAGAGATCATGGGAAAGCTCAATATCAGCCAAAACAAGGCCAGAAACCAACTATTAACGAGACCATCAGTTGCTCGTATTCAGGTTGAAATGAAGAACAAGTCTACAAGAAAAGAAATATGGACCATACCTGAATTTACAGATGGCCTCAAGAACAGATTCGACATGCCAGACAAATTGTGAGATGATCTCGAGAACCTACATAAAGAAAATAAAAGGTTGTTAAAAAGACAAGAAAGAAAATAGAGACCTAATAGGATGTCAGAAGAGACCCTGAAACTTGTTCTTAACATAAGGTAGCAAAAGCAGAATAGAAGAAATGATGAAATACAAGAGCCTCAGTGCCCTTGTCTTCGACTCAGAAGGAGAGCAGCTGGAGGGACACGTAATAGCAAGGAGGGAAATAAAGGGTTTATGCAGGAAGGTTCATATAGGAAACAGAAAGAAAGTACAGGGGACAGCAATCACAAGGTAAAGAAAGAGGGAAAGAGACTGGAAAATGGTTAATGGTCTCTACATTTGTGGTAGTTGCATAATCGGTTGTCAATTTGAGACTCACGAGTGAAGGAGTGGAGACTAGTCTATCAATCAGGTCACAGCTTGATGACCTCATTTGGAGACGCTAAGGAGACAAATAGCTCTTTGGAGGTGGGACACATGCACACTCCCTGGAAGACATTGCAGCTGACAAGACACATGGAGCTACACTAGTGTCCTGAGCTGGAGGAGCCATGTGGAGACCCCTGCCAGCACTGGAGACCCCTTACAATGCCACTGAATCCACAAGACTTCCCACATTCCTGCATTTGACATTGCATGTGTTTTGTGCAGGGGTCCTCAAACTTTTTAAACAGGACCAGTTCACTGTCCCTCAGACCCGTTGGAGGGCCAGACTATAGTTAAAAAAAAAAACTATGAACAACTCCCTACGCACACTGCACATATCTTATTTTGAAGTAGGACAGGCAGTAGTGGCAAAAACACCTAGCGGCCGGATAAGTGTCCGCAGCGGGCCGCAGATGGCCCGCAGGCCGTAGTTTGAGGACCCCTCGTTTAATGAGTCTGAAGAGGACTTTCTAGATTGGTATTGGACACATGGGCTAATATCAGACTTATGGACTTGATCTGGAAAAGGCTGAGATGTTTTCTTTTTTTTTTAATCATTTTATTAGGGGCTCATACAACTCTTATCACAATCCATACATACATCAATTGTGTAAAGCACATTTGTACATTCATTGCCCTCATCATTCTCAAAACATTTCATCTCCACTTAAGCCCCCAGCATTAGGTCCTCATTTTTCCCCTCCATCATGAGCCCTTGATAGTTTATAAATTGGTATTTTGTCATATCTTGCCCTGTCCGACGTCTCCCTTCACCCACTTTTCAGTTGTCCGTTCCCCAGGGAGGAGGTCACATATAGTTCCTTGTAATCGGTTCCCTCTTTCCTACCTATTCTCCCTTTACCCTCCCTGTTTTGCCACTCACACCACTGGTCCTGTAGGGCTCATCCGCCCTGGATTCCCTGTATTTCCAGTTCCTATCTGTACCAGTATATGTCCTCTGGTCTAGCCAGACTTGCAAGGTAGAATTTGTGTCATGATAGTGGGAGCAGGGAGGAAACATTTAGGAACTAGAGGAAAGTTGTATTTTTCATTGTTGTTACATCGCACCCTGACTGGCTCGTCTCCTCCCTGAGACCCTTCTGCATGGGGATGTCCAGTGGCCTACAGTTGGGCATTGGGTTTCCACTCTGCACTCCCCCCTACATTCACTATGGTAAGATTTTTTTTGTTCTGATGATGCCTGATACCTGATGCCTTCGACACATTTTCTTAATGTACAATTATGCTTCATATAAAGCTCTTTAGTAATCACTTTTGCTTCTCTAGTCTACCCAGACTAACACAGCATTTTAACATAGAAATGTATCATTCTCCATTTCTAAGTGATCACAATAACTGTGTTAAGTCTTCTGTAACCCAAGAAACATCAGTGTTTTCATTTTTTTCTTTTAAGTCCTTTGCAGTGGGAGAAGTTATTCATGACATGGTTTCACTTGGAGATGTTTCTTTATGACAATTTGATTTGTATGAAATTTCACCTCTAAGATATGTACTTGGGATTCTAATAGGTTAATAAAAAGCCCATTGCCATCAAGTCAGTTCCAATAATAGCAACCCGACAGGACAGAGTTGTACTGCCCCCGACAGGGTTTCTGAGGCTATAATCCTTATGGAAGCAGACTGCCCCATCTTTGTCCCGTTGGACAGCTGGGTGCTAGTGGCTGGTCTTTCTTTTAGCAGTCTAGCACATAACCACTGTACCAACAGGTCATCTCACGTGTTTTTATCAGCTTCAAATTTAGAACTGGTTTCAGAGCAGTCTCTGCCTTTACCTTCCTTTGCTGTTTGCAGACATGGCTTTCTGAAGATGACCATGTTGTCCTTAGGACAACCAGGTGAAAAGCTGCAGCTTTGCCCTTTGCTGCTTCTGATACGCTTTCCTCTGAGCTTCTCTGCCCTGGTGCTTGAGTAAAGTCTGTCTTCATCCGAAAGGAAAACAACAGTCCAGCTGAAGACCCCCAGGCTCCTGGTGCACAACAGGACCTACGTGGCCGAAGACATCAAGAACACACGTGAGGACAATAAAAGGTCATGAAAAAGACAAGAAAGAGAACAGAGACCGAATTGGATGTCAGAAGAAACCCTGAAACTTTTTCTTGAACATAAAGCAGCTAAAGCATAATGGGAAAAAGAAAATTATTTTATTATCAGCGAAGTCAAGCTATGCAGATAAAGTTGAGCACCACTTGGTTCCTGCAGTACAGTGAATTGCTTTGTATGGCTCTGCTAGCCATAATCTTAGTAACTCCCCCAAAATGAGTATTCTTTTTATTTTTTTATTATTAAGTCATTTTATTGGGGGCTCTTAAACAGCTCCTATAGAATTCCATACATCAATTGTATCAAGCATATTTGTACATATGTTGCCATCATCATTTCCAAAACATTTTCTACTTGAGCCTTTGGTGTAAGCTCCTCTTTTTGCCCCTCTCTCTCCTGCCCTCATGAATCTTTGATCAATTATGTATTGTTATTATTATTTAGTATCTCACACTGTCCTTTGCCTCCCTTCACCCCCATTTCTGTTATTTGTCCCCTTCGGGGGGTGGGGGGCTGTATATCCAACCTTGTGATGGGTTCCCCCTTTCAAAAGGAGTCTTCTTAATGGGTTTGGGAGGTTTGCTAACCCACAGAGCTAGAGCTGTGCATCTTCAGCAGGTCCTTTGGGCATCTATTGACAGAGCTTTGTAATATTGCCAAGCAAGACAAAGGTCTGGCCAAGAGGTTGAGGGTGAGAGAGAGGGCTTCCTGCAGGCACAGTAGAGAAGAGGCTATCTTGAATAAACAGCCATATCCAAAGCAATTGTGAACTTCCCTAATTAGCCCATAATAAGTAGACTGCTCTATGTGGCCAATGCAACGACTTACAGAGCCCGGCTGAGAAGTAAAGGGACTGGCTGTAGCCTCGGAGGATTTGGCCCTCCGCCGCTGCTGCTGGTGATTCTCCTCCTCCCTGCATGCCACTCCCACTGCATTCTGTTTTACATTTCCATATGCATTTTGACTAATTTTAGTGTATATTTTATTTTTAGTGAAGCAGCAATCTGTCCAACTATATGTTTAGCTTTGATTCAAAACAATATTCATACAGTAGTTTGTTTTTGTTTTGTTTTCTATTAGCATGGAGATACAAAACTCCCCACCGGGTGGCGTTTGTTGAAAAACTGACCAAGCTTGTTTTAAGTCAGCTGCCTAACTTCTGGAAGCTCTGGATATCATATGTTAATGGAAGCCTTTTTAGTGAGGTATGTACACATATAAGTCTTTGTCCAAAAAAAAAAATTTTTTTTTAAATTTGAAGTGGTTTTTAAAAGCTTGAGAGGCCAAACTTCTGTAACAATTGTCAGGCATTCTAAGATGAATTTCAAGCACTTAGAAACCCTTCTTAATAACTGTATGATGTTGAACAAGTTATTTACTCTGTGCCTCCGTTTCCTCACCTGTATAAAGACAATAGTAACAGCATTTATCCAAGAAGGTAGCTGTGAGGATTCAATGAGATTGTGAATATAAAGAAAATGAGACATTAATGTATTTTTCAGCGGTCAGAATTGAGTTTATTACCAATCAGAACAAATCATGGATGAATTTGTCTTTGCAGCTTATACAAGGGCCCAAAATAAAGAATATAAAACATCACTAAACCCAGTCATGTTACAATCAGCCTGCAAAAGTTATCACAAGCCTTTACATTTCCATGAGTTACATTTAATATAGTAGCTCATTCAAAGAAAGTGTGACATGAAGTGATGATTGGCTTTTCTGTGTGACGTATGGAAATCAGACTCATCTCTTTATTATCTCATTCAAAGTATTCCATGAAAGACTCCCCAGCACCTAGAATTGAAAGGCTACCTTGTTGTCCCCAGAGCTACGAAGGTGCCGCCTGAGCCTGCGCCCAGCCCCCCTTCCTGCCAAGATCAAGATGGCTAGCATGAGGTCTCCGTGAGCGAGCTCTCCACAGCCCTGAGTGATATTGGGGATTGAGGGGTCTTCCTGAGAGCAAAAACCCATCCATGCTTCTTGGAAACTTGCCACCCCAAAGCGTTGACGGGGCCCACAACTGTAACATTTTTGCTTTTTTACACAAGACAGCATTTGTGGTTTCAGACCTATCCTCCCCTGCATCAACTGGTGTGTGTGTGTGTGTGTGTGTGTGTGTACACTAGCACGCTGTAAGGATCCGTCCTGTCCCCTTTGTTCACAGACAGCAACACTAGTCTTAAAGAAACAGTTGTTTGGCGAAAGCTTATCTTCCCTTTTGACTATTTAAATTCTTACTTGCCCCTCTCTTTTTCTTTTCAACCTAATAGATGCCTGGATATTGGTTTATTTCTCACTCTCACTGCCATCAAATCAATGCTGACTCATAGTGACCCCCCTGTGGGTTTCTGAGACTTTAACTGTTTACAGGAATAGAAAGCCCAGTTTTTTCCCATGGAGCGGCTGGTGGTTTTGAACTGCCAACATGCAGATTGCAGCCCAACATGTAACCACTACACTACCAAGGCTCCTTGTCAATAGTTATTAATCTGAACCATACAATTTGCTTAATTTAACATTGCCCTTTAGTACATGACAAGCAATAGTCCCTAGTCTTGTAAGCATGATTTATTAATATACTTTAATTTCCGCTTTTGTTAATTTCCTTTATGAATGGGCATTTGCATATTAAATTATAGCAATAAATAATGTATGACATAAGCGTCTTATATTTTGGGTCACTTGTTATATAAAACTTCTGTTGAAAACATGACTATACAGACAGAGAAAGATCTTTCAACAAGTGATTGCACAACTCATTTTAAAGGCACTTCAACCATGGGGCAGAGGGAATGCTCTAAGACAGATGTGGTGAGAGTACAATTCCCCTTGATGTGATTGAACAATCGAACTCTTCACTTGTATGATATGTAAAATATGCTAGTAAAACTGCTGGGGGAGGGGGGAACAACTGATGTAGGGTTTGGCTGGTATTTCAATAAGTGCAAAGGGCCTTATTCCTCTCGGAAGAAAAGAGTGCTTTAACTTCAGCTTTTCAGGTGCCTTGAAAGATTTTCTTCACGCTATGCTTTCAGCAAGTCACGGTCGTGTTGCATTTGTTGAAATCTCGGCTTGAGGAGAGCCGTGTGGTTCAGTGAGCTGAGCATGGGCTTCGAGCTTCTCCCTCTGCCATGTGGTGACAGTTGCACCACTGTGTTACAACTTCCTTTCCTTATCTGCTCCATCTGCAACCAGACTGCTCACAAGGATGGGGAAGGCCGGGTGCGTCAATATTAGTGCCTAGAGATCACACAGTCCTTCGTACCCAAAACTCTAATACTAGCCATGTAGATCACCTACGAGCTTTGACTCAGTTCTGTGTACTACTTCCATAGGGTTGGTTGTGAGGATTAAATGAGTTAATATAAATGAAGTGCTTAGAAGTGTCTGGCAGATATATGAGTTGGCTATTATTTCTTAGAACAAATATTTATTCCACTATTTGAAATCTCATTTCCCTGGCACATAATAACTGTTCAGTGAACATTTGTTTAATAGCTTTGAAAAAATGCTGAACTGACGAAAGTTGTGCTGAATATTGCCAAGATGGATTAATGCATCTAAAGTCTTAGTCCTTTTTGAAATGGAGACCAATAAATACATGAGCCTTTTCCCCAGTCTCATCCGCTCCTACCAATTGTCCAGCCACATATGGACACGAGCTAGCTTTTTTCTGAGTCCCTTTAGAGAATGTAAAATCCTTCAGAGATTTTTGATTTGAGGCATTTTAGTGCAAAAGGAATATATTTTTCTTCCTAACAGTTTACATCTCACTTAGCAAATATATAAATGAAATATGTGGATGCAGATGAAGAATAAATGAGCTATTTCAAAACTCATGAACAACACAATCATTGAAAGAGTGATTTTAATTCTTGTTTAGAGTTGACTGTACATCCCTGTGGTATCTCTACCGATGACTATTTTTAAAAGTTTATGGTAATACTTTTTAAATCTAATTACAGATTTAGGCATACTTTTAACATTATTTACCCTCCATTGAAAAACTATACATCCACAGAGATTATGAAAAGACATTCACACATGTGAATCTCATCAATGAAAATTGAAATATTAATAGTGGGAATTGTTCTGGGACTTCTGACCCTTAGTGTCCATGCTGTAAGGAAACCTGGTGGCACAGCTCTACGACTCGTGGGGAGAGGCCCGGCAGGGCCTCTGTGCAGATCGGTTGTTGTTAGGGGCCGCTGAGTCGGCTCCAGTTCGATGCTGAGCCTGCCCTGCTGCCAGCCTCACCATTATTCCTGTGCCTGGGAAGGCCTGTGGGGCAGTTTCACGCTGTCCCATGGGTCACTATGAGTCAAAATCAGCAGCACACACCAGCAATTGAACTTAATACAAAAGCTTAGGACACTGTACTTGAAATTTCTTATTTTTCTTGTTTGGAGTTAGCTTGTTGTATTAAGACTCTGTCCGTTGAAGATATATATGGTATTTCCAACAGTTTAGAAAATAGTCAGTTCCACAAACTAGTCAAGTCCATGTGAAATAACATATGTGAATCAAAACAGTGAAATCTAGCCGTTGGTCTCACCACAAAGTAGTTTTGGTTTGTGTGTGCAGGAAAGCATTAAGGTTTTAGTTAACGAAATAGTGACTAGAAGGTTAAGGTCTCACTTTTAGGTATATTTTGATGCTGCTTATTTTTGAATGAAAATCTTTAAAGATCAAAATAATTTATAAACCTTCTACATTCGCATTTTTAAAAGTTTCATGACCCACAATATGTAAACTGAAATGTACTTTATGTTGCAAAATTAGGTTTTCTTTTAAAAATAGGACAAACCAAACACATTGCCCTCAGGTCGGTTCCGATTCATAGTGACCCCGTAGTCCAGAGGAGAACTTCCCCATAGGCTGTGCTCTTTTACAGAAGCAGAATGCCACAGCGCTTTCCCACCAAGCAGTTGGTGAGTTTAAACCGCTGACCTTCCAGTTTGATTAAGTAGCGAAGCACTTAATCTTAGAACCACCAGAGTTCCTCATAAGAAATAGGACAAACCTTCCTGAGTCACCATATGGGGCACTTTTTATCAGATTTAAACAGTGAATTTTTTTTTAATTACAAATTATAGTGGCCATACCTTACAACTACTTTCTCACTCCTTCTATTTCGCATGTCTTTAGAGACAAATACTTATCATTTGAAATATTACTCTGTCTAACACATTTAATCAAATGTGTGGGCCAAACTGCTCTGGTAAATTTTAGCACTAATTTTGATAGCAATGTTTTCTAATTTTGATAGCAATGTTTTCTAACCACTGATTTCTTGGGCATTTTTGTACTAAAACTTTGGCCCTTGTGGGCCAAACTGCCTTGGTAAAATTTAGCACTAATTTTGATAGCAATGTTTTCTAATCACTGATTTCTTGGGCATTTTTGTACTAAAACTTTGGCTGACATTCTCAGCTCTCTCAAAATAAGCAGGTATTATTGTTGTTTGGCCCTCTGGAAGTCAACAAAGTGCCCTAAGTATCCCAGAACACTTGCCATGATCTTGGCTCTTGACCAATCCCTTGGTTGCTTTCACTAGACTATCTCCAAGATGCCCACAAAGTGTAATGGGTTATGCATTGGGCTGGTAAGCACCAGATCAACAGTTCAAACCCACCAGTAACTCCAAGGGAGACAGATAGGACGTTCTGCCTGTTTAAAGAGGTATGGCTTTCTGCTTGATTAAAGTTGATTAAAGATTTTAATCAACTTCTGCAGTCTGAAATTGACCAAACACGCAATCCAGATCCATTTTTAACTATTGATGATGGGGATGTGAAAATGGAAGAAGAAGGATCAGGACCTGGCAGTTGACGTCCTCAGGGGAGAAGTGATGCTGAGGATCACAGGATAGAGTCTTGCAAGTGTAATGGCTTTTTTATTGCAAATTCCTTTTTTCCAATAACACAAACAGTGATTATACACATGGATCTCGCAGGTGAAATGTACAGGAGTTGAATTGAGGACATCTGTGGAAAGAGACGATGGAGAAGCTCAATATTATCAGTCAGAAAAAGACCAGTTGAAGCTGAAAGAAATGAAAACAGATCCATTAAAGCCACAGGGTGACAGGATGCATCCTTAATAGAGATTATCTCAGGAAGGGACAGTTTTTCTACATTGTACACTAATTCTGCGGAAGACCAGACATGTTCTGAGATGACACCAAAGACTTCATCTCAGAAGAAATTAAAAAGTCATTTAAAAAACACAAAAGAAAGCCTCTGGGATATCAAAAGAGTCTCTGAGGTGTACTTTTAAATGTTGAATAGTAAAGTGAATGAAAGAAATGATTAAGTTAAAGAGCTGAACATAAGATTTCAAGGGCAACGCAAGAAAGCAAAGTGAAATATTAACAGTAAATGATGTACAGGCCTGTCATTAGAAAACCAAAAGGAAGAATAACCCCAGGCATTTCTCAAGCTGAAGGACTGAATAAACATGTCTAGCTTCAAGGTGTAATATTGTAGGAGTATATGGGCAAAATATTGAACAATATCGTTGATGTCACATGCAAGTAAAATTTTCCTTAAAATAATTTATTAGTGAACAGTGCTGACTCCTAGTGACCTCCCTGTGGGTTTCTGAGACTGTAACTGTTTACAGGAGTAGAAAGCCCAGTGTTTAAACTGCTGACCATGCAGATCACAGCTCTCCACATAGTCCCTACACCACCAGGGCTCCTCGCAGTAGTACAGCCTGCAGGAAATCCTACTAAAATATATCTGTATGCTATCTTTGACTAGCAGTTGAAGATGGTGTACTAGGAATTTTCACATTACTCGTGCAGAGAGGACTTCCACAGATTCTGTGGAGATATCATTAGGCTGAATCGGATATTATTCAATAGTTTAAAACTATTGAAGCTTAAAGATGAAATATGTGTAGATGTAACAGATTGCCTATTGTATCTAGAAATCATATTTGAAAGTATTTCCACAGGTTCAAGTAATCATCTTAAGAAACTTTAAATCTAATACTAAAAATATTCTAGTATCTTTTTGATTGGTGCAGAAAAACCCTATGCACTCTTTGCAAGAGCACACAACAAATGGCAGATATCAATTATTAAAACCAGACATAAACTTGTGGCTTTTACCTTATTCTTTCTGTACAGGTATATCAGATCATTCATAATACTAAAAAATTGAAATTTATAATTACCTTTACATACAAAGCTATAAAGAAATAGAAGTATGATTTAAAAAAACAAACATCATCATGAATCTGAGACTTTTATATTTATACAAAGGATTACTTAACAAAAGGATTTCTAAGTGCTATTTGTTTGTTAAACTGCATAAAAGTTGTTGAAGTAACATTTTGTGTTGGTCTTGTCAGAGAATAAATTTCATTTTTACATTACAAAAAGACTCAGTAGTCAATTTAGGAGTCAAAACTGCATTTCAATGGAAAGATTTGGGCTGAAGAGAAAAATTTGGAAGGCATTAGATAGAGAATAGAGATCATATGTGAAGCCATGGAAATGAGTTAGTGAGAGGGTGTAGAGAAAAAAGAGACAATTTCAAAACTAAATCCTAAGAACCCCAACAGGTCAAGAATCACTTCTTCAGATCTCATGAAACAGGGGCATCCACTGGCTTTTCTGCATCTAAGCCATGCTACCACCACGGATGCGATGGTGTGTGAGAGCTCCACCCTGGAAAAGGCAATGTAAGCTGGCCGCCTTCAGGGCCCTCCCACTCCATAAAGGGAATGAGGGAGTTTAGCCCGCCCCATGCGCAGCCGATGATGCAGTCACTGTTATCCTGCTCAGTGCACGCCTCGTCCTGGCCCTCTGGCCCCCTCTGTGCACTGTGGTCTGCATGCTGCTTTAGAAATCTAACTGTGCTACCTGCATGCTTAACGCACTTACAATAAGGGTAGTTTCAACCTAATAGTACAGCAAGAAGAGGTTTACTTATGGAAAGTATAGTGAAGGACTTTAGATGGATTACTTCTTGTTGAAATAAAAGGTTTATTTATCTTACACTTTTTATCTTTGAAGGATATCTTTGTATTATGCTAACAAAGTGCCAAATACATTTTGTAATTGTGTTGTTTTATTATTACTTTTTTATTTTGGAAATTTTCCTAAGCTGATACTTCTAGAGCAGTGGTTCTCAACCTGTGGGTCGCAACCCTTTTAGGGGTCGAATCACCCTTTCACCTGATTCTTAACAGTAGCAAAATTACAGTGATTAAGTAGCAACAAAAATAATTTTATGGTTGGGGGGGATGGTCACCACAACATGAGGAACTGTATGAAAGGGTTGCCACATTAGGAAGGCTGAGAACCTCTGTTCTAGACCATTTTGAATTGAGTTGGTAATAAGTTCACTGAAATCCAAGAGCTTTCCCTTTAACTTATTGTAAAGTAATAATCCACACTTTACTTCAAGAAGAAAGAGAAATTCACAGGAAAATCAGGGAACAGAGAAAAAATGAATTCTAGACTTCTAGGATGCTCTCCTAAAATCCCTGAAGGAAGAGCACTGATTTATAATTAAAAAAAACAACACACACACATATATATATATGGATAGTTGCAATGGTTATATGGTTGAGTGTTCAGTCTTGGAGAGAATGAGATGATCTCTCTTATTTCTGTACTAGCAAATGAGAATTGATGTTGAGAATGCTTTCAAGAATACAGAACTCTTTGGGGTGAAATACATGAAATTGTTGACAAAACAGCTAATAAAATTAAGAAAAAGGTGATTTTAACTTAATACTTAGTTTAGCAGCAAGAGGTTGATTTATGAAAAAAAGTTTTTAATTTTAGAAAGGTAGATAACTTTTTGGAAATTTACTTTATAATTAACCAACTACATCGGCTGATCAACCTAGCTAATTTAGTTATAACTGTACTCCATGTTCTTTTTATATACAACCCTTAAAGCATTTCTTAGTTTTATAAGTTATTTCTGAAAGACAACCAATATGTTTCTGCTTTGTCTTGTTTTAAGACTGCTGAGAAGTCAGGCCAGATTGAAAGATCAAGGACTGCAAGACAAAGACAAAATGATTTTAAGGTAAGTTAACATAAGTGTGAGATGTTTCCATAGGAGAGGGTTTTCTCATCTAAAGTTGTTACAAGACTTTCTGTATATTGAAGATACCCATTACTTAGGAGCAAACTAAGCAGCTTTGTGTGTTGATTGCGTTTCAGAAAATGATTCAGGAACTAATGTACTCTCTTGTGAAGCTGACTCGTGGGGCTTTGCTCCCGTTCACCATCAGGGATGCCGATGTGCGGCAGTACGGAGGCTGGGAGGGGAAGTCTGGCCTCTCGGGACAGTGGCTCACTCATGCCATCCAGACTGTAAGGTAAGTGTGGCAATTACGTAATTTCATGTCAACTTGATAATAAGTGTAGGGGTGGAGTCTAGGCTGTCAATCAGGTCACAGCCTAATGAAGCCTCCTTATGGGTGTGGCCTTTTAGTGAGGATTCTGGGAATTTCCTCTCTTTCTCCCTGGAGGAGGTCCACTCTCTGGGAGCCACACTCTCTTTCTGCTCCACTCTCCTGCTGTTGAGACTCGGAGAGCTGGAGGAGCCACGTGGAGACCCGCATCAGCACTGATGTGCTTCTACCGCCTCTGGATCCACAAGAGTTTTCTCCCATTGGCCTGTGATCTTCCTGAATTCAGCATTATTGTGAGTGGCTATGTGAGTCTGAAGAGGAATTTATGGACTAGTAGCGGACATATGGGCTAGTATCAGACTTACGGACTTGTTCGGGACTGGGCTGGGATGTTTTCTCAATATACGATTGCTCTTTGATATAAAGCTCTCTCTTACACACGAGTGTCTCTGGATTTGCTTTTCTAGTAAGCAAGCAGGGACACCTCATAAGCAGACGCAAATACTATTGCTTTCTTGTAAAAATGCAATACTCAGTACAGAATATGATTTTTAATACATTCAACAAAGAAATTTGAATTTTAATACTCTTTGGTTTTGCCTCCTAATTTACTATTAGTTCCTATCTACCAACTAAACTCAAACTTTCCCAGTTTTATTTTTAATGAGATGCCATCCTGTCTGTGTATCTCATTGTTTAATTTAGTGATGCTACCATCTTACTGTTTAATTTAGTACTGCTACCAATTTAGTAATGGAGGTGTTGGATTTCCTCATCTGACTTCACAAGAGAACCATTATCAGCCACAACAGCCTAAAGCTATGTTCTAGGAGGTGGAGGTCTAACATACCTCCTCTTTCCAAATTTTTTTTTTAACCCATTCTAACACCAGCTGTGGTTCCCATAGCACTTTCTCTTTCTCATCTGTGTTTGATAATTCTTTGCATTGGGCACACAGAACTTACAGACCTTACAGTTACAGGGTCTATTAGGGAAGTAACAGGTTACAATTCAGGGTCAGGAACAACTCAGGGTATAGTTTTTTAATCAGAGCAGCCTGTTAGCCAAGCCCACAGACAGGGCTCTCCCTGGCCTTCAGTCTCTTCACCCAGCCTCTCCCTTGTTCACTCGCGCCATCTGTAAGTCCTCAGGAGCACATTGCTTTGACTGCCAGGCTTGCATGAAGGCAGTCAGCTCTCTTATTCTATGGGTCAGCAAGCTTAGATATACTGAGAAGTGTCTGGAGGTGCCCTACTCCACCAGGCTGCCTTCTATCCAAAGGTGCTCAACTCTCTTTATGGATTGGCACATTCACAATACAGTCACTTTGCTCCATGGGCCGGTTGCCCACTGCACTGTCTCACACAAGCATTCTGGTTCTGCTGCCACTGTGTTTCTGATACTACTTGTTATCATCTTGGATCATCTCTACTGTTAAAACTCTCTGTCTTCTAGGTGTAGGTTGGCACAGACACCCTGGGTCCAGTGGATACACTCTTTTCATTTCTTCTAATGAGATGCTTCCATTTTGCCTTTAAGATGGCTCATTTTAGGCCTAGCAGAAGAAAATACTGACCAATCTCATCTATTATGGTTCCATGCACTTCATTTGCATGGCCCCAGCCCCAAAAAGGTACCATTCAATACTTAGTTGTATTATTATTATGTGCCCGATCCCGTTGATGGGCCATAAACACCTTATTTGCATAGTCCTACCCAATATTTGCATGGTCTTAACCCAATAATTTGGTGAGACTTTTAGAAAACCATGGTTGGTTGCTGTTTGCTGCCATCAAGTCAGTTCCCACTCCTATGCACAACCGAGCAATCCACTGCCCCATCCTGTACCATGGTGTTAGGTTGAGTTCTCTGCAAGAAGAAAACCAATGATTATATGTACCTATAGAAATAAATTTATCGCAATAAAGTGACTCACGTTGTAGAGTAAGTTAAATCTGGTTCAAATTTCTGGGTCACATGTGAATCTGAGGGCTTCTGACTCATGTAGCTTTGGGGGTGAAGAACCAGGAAATGGGAAGATGAAGCACAGGCTGGTAGAGGCAGAGTACGATGAATCCAAGGTCAGTAATCTCCTGATGGCTCCTGGAATAGGTGGGCAATAATGGAAGGCATTTAGCTTTAAGTCCAAAGAACCAGGGGTCAGAATCCAGATGAAGGAGAAGTGGCAAGCCTTCCCACAGAGTCTGCTTAAGTAGGAGCAGGCCACACACTTGAAGAGACTTTTTTTTCAATTGCTTTAAGATTGTGACATGATCAAAGGGCCATACTTCTCCACAACTGCTGGTGCTCACGGAATTTATTACATCATGTAATTGAATGCATTATATTAGATCTCATGATGGGGTTGATTATGCTATTTTAGATCACATTTGGGGGGATTATTGCCAAACTACTGAGAACCCAAAGCTTGACTATCACAAACGTCCTCAAGATTGCTCTTATGCTTAAACCCATTCTTGCAACTACTGTGTCAGTTCACCTTGTCAGAGGTCTTTCTCTCTTTGCTTCCCTTCCACTTTGCCAAGCATGATGTCCTTGTCCAGGGGCTGGTGTTTCCTGTTAATATGTCCCAAGCATATGAGCTGAAGCTTCGCCATCCACTCTGCCAAGGAGCGTTCTGGCTGTACTCCTACCAGGGCAGATCGGTTTGTTCTTCTGGCAGACCATGGCACTTTCAGCATTCTTTGCCAGCGCCGTAATTCAAATGCATCAATTCTTCTTCGATCTTCTTTTTTATTTTATTTTTTTAATCATTTTAGTGGGGGCTCGTATAACTTTTATCACAATCCATACATATAGCCATTGTGTCAATCATATTTGTACATTTGTTGCCATCATCATTCTCAAAACATTCCCTTTCCATTTGAGCCCTTGGTTATCAGCTCCTCATTTTTTCCCGTCCCTCCCTACTCCTCCACCCCCCATCTTCTTTTTCAATGGGTAACTTTCACATGCACATGGATGTTATTAAAAATAACATGGTCACAGGAAACTTAGTCCTCCAAGTGACATCCTTCCTTTAGAGCACTTTAAAGTGTCTTGTGCAGCAGATTTACTCAGTGCCATAAGTTTTTAATTTCTTGGCTGCTGTTTCTATGAGCATTGATTGTGGATCCAAGCAAGAGGAAATCCTTGACTACTTCAGTCTTTTCTCTGTTTATACTGATGTTATCTGTTGGTCTAGTTATGAGGATTTGGGTTTTGGTATATTGAGATGTACTTAGAGTTGCAGTCTTTGATTTTCATCAGCAAGCCCTCTTCACTTTCAACAAACAAGGCTGTGTTATCTGCATATCACAGCTTGTTAATCTTTCCTCCAATCCTGATGTGTCCTTCTTATCTCTGCTGAGTATTTGCTCAGTATATAGATTAAATCAGTGTGGTGAAAGGTTACAACCCTGATACATACCTTTTCTGATTTCAAACCATGCAGTATTCCTGTGTTCTATTCAAAATACCACATCTTAACCCATGTTCAGGTTCCTTATGAGCATAATGAAGTGTTTTGGAATTCCCATTCTTTTCAATGCTATCCATAGTTTGTCAATGATCTACACAGTCCTTGTATACTCAAAAATTCACAAGTTAACCTCTTGCTGATATTCTCTGAGGCAAAATTTATCTGACATTAGCAATGATGTCCCTCTTTCCAGAAGCTCTTCTGAATCCAGCTTAAATTTCTGGAAGTTCCCTGTTCATGCACTTTTGAAACCATTTATTGAATGATCTTCAGCAAATTTGACTTGCATGTGCTATTGATGATATTGTTAGATAATTCCCTCATTCTCCTGGGTCACCTTTCTTTGGAATGGGTACACATCTGGATCTCTTTTAGTCAGTTGCCCAGAACCCAGAATTCTTGGCCTAGGTTGAGTGAGTGCTTCTAGTTCTTCATCAGCTTGTAGAAATGAATTATGAAAACCAAAATAGGACCTTGAGTACATGGGGGTACCAAAAAAAAAACTGGAAAAGGAGCAATTTTTTTCCCTGCTAGGCAAGCATCG